TCTCTTATGGTTTCACCTCTGCCCCTTGGGCTTTGATAATCATTTAAGACAATTTGGTATCCATGTTCATGCTTTGAGTCTGTCTTGAATGATGGATCAATCTTTTTGCACTTGTTTGCTCTTTGTTCCTTCATGATCAATATGAGATATTTGGTTGAGATATTTTACATGTTGCTTGCTGCCCAAGCCCCTTTTCTCCCATCTTCAATTTGATCATGGCTTTTTCTTGTGTTTTATGCTTGATTTTTGTTTTAATGATTGATGTTTGAATGGTTGTAGGAGTTGTAACTTCTCCCATTTCATCTCACTCTTTTGGACTTGTTCAAACCCTTTTGATCACTTGTCTTTGTTGCATCATTTGATTCTCATATTTCATCTTTGAATCTTTGCATTTCATGATTGCATTGCATTTGACTTGTTCAAGTAAACTTCTTCTCTTTCTTTCATTTCATCTGTGATTGATTTATCTGTTGTTTACTTGGTTCTTTTGCCATGGTCCCTTAGGATTCCTAGTCCCTCTATTTAAGATGGGAGTAGGAGAGACATTAGGTGTTCAATCCTTTATATGATAACATTAGGATAAATTCTTTCCCTCTTTATCCCAACTTTATGAGCATTTTGCATGACATCATTAGGGTTGATTAGTTTCCCCTTAGAGCTTGTGTCTTCTCTTCTCATCTCATAATCTCTTAAAACACTTAATAAAGGATAGTAAGTGTTGTACGCTATGAGCCTTAAGTACTTGAGGAATGATAGTTAGGTGTTTAATCCTTTATATGATAACATTAGGATAGATTCTTTCCCTCTTTATCCCAACTTTAGGAGCATTTTGCATGACAGCATTAGGGTTGATTAGTTTCCCCTTAGAGCTTGTGTATTCTCTTCTCATCTCATAATATCTTAAAACACTTAATAAATGATAATAAGTGTTGTACGCTACGAGCCTTAAGTACTTGAGGAATGATAGTTGGAAATTCATTTGTTATTTTATTGCTTTATATGGATGATATTCTAATAACAAGCAACAATGTCGAAGATGTAATAGGGGTGAAGGCTGAACTCAATAAGGAGTTCGATATGAAGGATCTGGGAGATGCGTCAAGGATTCTTGGGATTGACATCTGAAGAGATAGAAAGAAGTCAAAATTATACTTATCTCAAAAGGCATACCTACGGAAGATTCTCGAAAAGTATGGTATGTCGAATTCAAAGCCTGTTGTGACTCCGACAAACCTTCAATTCAAGCTGAGTATAAATCAGTGTCCCAACATTGATGTTGAAAGAGCCTATATAAATACCATTCCATATGCTAATATAGTGGGTTCTTTGATGTATGATATGGTCTGTACTAAACTCGACATATCATATGCAGTAAGTCTTGTAAGCAGGTACATGGCGAATCCTAGAAAGGCTCACTGACAAGCATTGAAGTTGATTCTAAGGTACATAAATGTGTCTCTGAATAGATTCCTAATTTATGGTGGAGCCTTGGGTGAAGATAGTAAAGCAGCAATTAAAGGATATGTCGACTCTGATTATGCAGGTTGTATGGATTCTAGAAAATCTATTTCTAGATACGTGTTCACTATGTTTGGGATATTAATCAGTTGTAAAACAACACTTCAGAAGGTTGTTGCCTTGTCAACCATTGAAATGAAATATATCGTCCTAAATGAAGCTGTGAAGGAAACATTATGGCTTGAAGGTTTTGCTAAGGAGCTGAAACTTCAAGGTCGAGTTATCACTGTTAAATGTGATATTCAAAATGCAATACACTTGTCGAAGAATTCAGCCTATCATGAACGAACCAAGCACATTGATGTGAGGCTGCATTTCGTCAGAGGGGTAATCGAGCATGGAGAAGTCCAAGTGTTGAAGGTTTCGACAAATCACAATGCTACTGATATGATCACCAAGACATTGCCCAGTTGCAAGTTTTTCCACTGTATGCAGTTGATAAAGATGCATGAAGAAAGTTAGTTTCTTGATGTTATAGAGTTAGTTCCAGGTGGAGATTTGTGAGATATTGGATCGAACTCTAGTATGGTCGAAGGGTAGCTTCTGGTTCGACAGGAATTAAGCATGAGGTCGAAGTTTATTCGCATGCTACTGTCGGAGTAATGCGTGTTGTAGTCGAAGTTTGTTCTAACATGTATTAGTCAATATTGCTATGTTTGTTAGCATGTTGAATTGGGTCTTACTTGTAATCCCAATTGTTTAAGTTAGCTTGTACCCTAAGTTAACTTGTAATGGATAATTGTTAAAAAATTCATTAGGTTAGTATGCTAATTCTCTTATAAATATCATGCTAGTCTCTCATCTTGCCAATAAGGAAAAATAGGAAGATAAAATCTTAATTTCAAGAGAGAAAGAGAGATTATTTTGTTATTCTTGTATACTTGTAATCTTGTTTCGAAGAGAAAGCAGAGAATAACTGTTTATAACCAATCCTTATTGTTCTTTGTTGTTTTACCTTGTTTTCTTTGTTAACCCTAACTCTTGTGTGTTTATTGATCATAAAAAAATCGTTTATATTTTGTTTCAAGATATCCGATTCACAACATTAATATTATTATTATAAATTATTATCATTGCCCCTTTTATCAATTTTCTTAATCTATCACACTTATCTCCCTCTGCATTTAACTTTTTCTCTTTACCTTTGTCTTCATTCACTTATTTCTTTATTTGGCAAATCATTCACTTTTATTTTTGACAATTATATTCAAAATTCAAAAAATTTATAATTTTTCCACAGTTTTGAAATTCAAATCTTCTCTAACTTTTCTCACACTTTCAAATTATTATTTAAGTATTTTAGTAAAATTTTATTGTAAAGACTATTTTTAGTTATATATTTCTAAATTTAAGGGTATATAAATGTGATTTTGAATTTACTTTATTTTTAGTTTTTATGATGTATTTAATTAATTTTATTTATTTATTATCATTAAAAATAATAATTAATCTATATTTTTTTAATTTTAATAAAATCAATAATTCTGATTTTACTTTTTTTTTCCTTTGTCCATCTCGTTTTTCTTCTTCTTCTTTTTTAATATATAATCATTACTTATTTTACAATTGAGTAATCATTTCAAATTTTATGTGATTTTAAATATATTTTAGATTTAATTGTAACAAAATTAACAATTAGTATTATTAACAATTCAACAATTGACTTTATTTAAGCGAGAAATTTTTTATTTTTAAATCATAATTGAAGATAGTATGTTATGTTTCAACTCATATGTCATTATCAGCAAAATATATATTTTATTTTAATTAAAAATTGTCAAATTTGAGAGTCAAAATTTTTATTTATAAATAAATTTTTTTTCTCTATTTCATGGGTCATTTTTTAAAATTCGTTTTTCTATAATTATTTAATACAATTGAATTTATATGATTATTATTTATTTTATAATTAAATAATATTTTAAATTTAAACGAGTATTTAAATATATTTTATATTATATTAAATAAACTAATATTTAACTAATTAAAAATAAAATATTTCAAGAATTTTATTACAAGTTTTTTAATTTATGAATTTTTAAAAAATAATTCAATTAACTAAGACCTATGCATTATTTAAATCTAATTTTAATTAATATACTTACTTTGAAAAAGTAAAAATAGTCAATATATATTAGCACTTTAATGACTGATAATTTTTTAGACAGAAGATTATCTCGTTGAATTAAGGAATGTGCTGTCACAATTTTTTCTTTTAAAAAATTTAATTAATTAAATTGGTGAGTGTGAATATCAGTTTTGATTCTCAAATAATATTTGATATTAAGATGTATCGTAATTTTGTTTGGAATACGTAAATCTTTGATATTTTCTGTAGTATGAATTTTTATTTTATTTAAAAAATTAGTTTTAACTATAAATTTATTATTTAAAATTTTCCTAAATATTACAGGACTTTTAAAGTAATTAAATTTAATTTTAATTAATACAATTAATTTATTTTTATTGAGGAAATAAACTAGTCAAAATGTATATTAGTCACTCTTTTCTTTATTATGTAAGTACGTTTTTACAATATTAATTTTTATTTCATTCTTAAGTAAATCAATGGATACTTTCTTTTAGAGAAATTTATTTTTGCTTAAATTAAATTTTAAAAAAAAGTACTATTTTTAAGTTATAATTATACTGTATTTCATTGTTTATCAATACAATAAATAAATAATACATATTTTTTTAAGAGAAAATGTACAATTATTTTATTATTATTATTTAAATTAAAAGATATCAATAAATAATTATTGTGATTAACATACTTTATAATTTTACTAATTAATATTTTACATTTTATTAATCAATTTTTTTAATTTTAAAAATTATTTTTAATATTTAAACAATTATTAATCAACTTCAAAATTTTATTAATGAATTTTTTACTTTTTATTAATAAACTTTATTTTACTATTAAAAACTATTTTTAATATTTCGCGTCTATTAATCAAATTTATTAATCAATTTTTAAAATTTATAATTAATTTTATTTTATTATTAAAAATCACTGTCGATGCACTTAATATTATTCTCTATAAATATATTTTTTACTCTAAAAATACATTGTGTCAAACAAAGGACATCTGTTATAAAAAACAACAAGTGACCTGGAGAGCAAGGAAGCTCAGCTCTCACCCTCGAAATTTGAAATAAGAAAATAATAATATACTAACAACCGTCAAGGTTTATATTTACTTTTAGTAAAAAAATACTAAATAAACATAAATTTAAAAGCATATTACAGAGAAAAATATAGTATTATTTGAAAGTAAAGTGTATTCACCCACCCACCCCACCCATCCGTGCAATGCAAAGATGAAAAATAAAATAAAAAAGTCCACAGCAAAACAACAAAAATAGGAACAAGCCTTTTTCAGAAACAAACCAAACCAGCCAAACAACACCATATCTCTCTCTCAAATATCTCTCACACCACACCAAACCCAAAACTCTCACACAAACCCAAAAACATGAAAATACCATCAAAAACCACTTCAAGTCCAGCTCGCACAGACAAATTCCCTCCACCATTAATGCGATTCTTAAGAACCAATGCATCAAGTAGAAGCAGAAGATCAAGGTCAAGCCCCATGTTCGTTCTCCGCAAGAAGAACAACACCAACACCATTGAAACAACTCAAGAACCTTCTTCCCCTAAAGTCACTTGCATGGGTCAAGTCAGAGCCAAACGCTCCTCCAAATCAAAGTCAAAATCAAAACAAAAACAAAAACAACCTTCCCCCACTCTCACTCATCGCTCCTGGATTAAAAAGCCCAACTCATGCCGTTGTCGGCCCGTTTGGCCCAAATGGGCTTTCTTCCGTAGAAAATCACCTAAACCAAAACAGCCGGACGAGTTTGTTTCTATTTCTATTTCTAATAGTAATATTCACGAAGAGATAGATAGTGTTGATAGTTATAATCAAAATCAAAATCGCAATGCTTTCGCTTCAACTTCAAATTCTTGTTCTCCTCCAAAGAACGCTTTGCTGTTAACCCGGTGTAGATCCGCTCCGTACAGATCTTCGTCTCTTGCGAGTAGGTTTTGGAGTTCACCTTTGAGGAACGAAGAAACAGAGTCTACTTCCGATAACGAGAAATCAAGTTCGCAATCGCTGAATAGAGACTCCGTTTCTGATAAAGAGGATTCGATAGGTACTCAAACTGGAAGAATCGGTTCAATTAGGGATTTGGAAAATGTTGAAGAGTTGTTGTTGAAGGGAAGGGTAAAAAAGGAAGAAGATGAGGAGTCCGCGGTGGCGCGTCCTGTTGTACTGACTCGGTGCAAATCGGAACCGGCGAGAGTAGATTACAGAATTGACCCTGAGGTAAATAATTTGTGGAAAAAGACAAGGTTGGGTTTTGCTGTTACTTCTTCTCCTCTCCACATACTTTCTGATTAATTAATTATTATTATTATCATTACTTTATCTACTTAATTTTTTTCATTATTATTATTACAAAATCAGTTGAATATAATAATTAGTTTTTTTTTCAAATGTTGATATAATTGCTTACTATACACTTGAAGGTACGATTTTATTTAATATTTATTACTTCTGGTAACGTAAAAAGTAGTACGTTAAAGAAAGTAGCAGACGATGCTTACAGTTTTCATTTAAAATTTCAGATATATTTGTACTAAAATAATCAAAATAATATATGTTTTCTTAAACAAAGAAAAGTCATTTTATACTTTCTTCTAACAATTTTGTGCATCTTTAGTATTGTATTTTTTTATAAAATCATAATAGTATCAATCACATAATTAACATAACAATGTGATTTTGCTTACTCCTTAGTGGAGTATAGTTTTTTAAATATTGAGTAGCTTGTTGCAAATGCAAACATGTACTAAGGAATATGTCAGTACATTTTATATATTTGTTTTGCATGTAGATGTTTTAGAAATATATATCTATATATTTTATAGAGGTATTTAATTTTGGGGTGTTGTCTATTAAAATACTAAGTAGTACTATTAATTAGGAGGATTTTTATAATAATAATAATAATAATAATAATAATAATAATAATAATAATAATAATAATAAAGATGTTTTTTTACCTAATAAAATAGACTTATGTTTTATGGATATACAAATAAGAGTTGTTATCGAATTTATTATTAAAATGTTTTAAGAATTAAATATATTATATATATTTTTTGTTTGTTTTAGTCTTTATAAATATATAACTTTTTACTGTTAATCATTTATATTTTATTTTAGGTTTTGGAAATTCATTCATATTAAAATTGGTCATTGTAATATTAATTTGAGTGTTTATTTTAACAAATTAAACTCAAACATCTTATATTTACAAATATTACTTCTAATAAGTTATACAAAATGAAAATAGTTTTTCAAGAATTAAAATTAAGAAATGATATATTTAGAGACAAGGCGATTGTGATGAAGTGACAAGGTCTATAACAATAATTTTGTCTTTACAATTTTTTTTTAATGAAGTTGTGTCGAAGTGATTGACAATGGGCAGAATTTTTTTTATTTAAAAAAAAAGGCTATATAGCAAAAAAAAACCCTCTCAAGAAGAAAGAACATAAAAGAATAGTAAATTAAGTCTATTTTTTACAAAATCAATCCTAAAAAAATATGGGATTGAAGTGTACTTAGTATAATTAGTAACTGTAAGTCCTATGTTAGCAAGTAAGTCTGCGTAACTATTCTCTTCTTGGAAGATACGAGAAACCACAAAGGATTTGTTCGTAGTGATATTAACACAATTAATCCATTTGATATCGATTTTTCAAGGAACTTTGAATGGGAGATTGAAAGCTTGAACCACAGTCATAGAACTCGATTCTAACTAAATTTTCCACCAACCCATCTCATGAGCGAACTCAATTGTTAACATAACACCTCAGAGTTTGAAGATGGGAGAATTAGAAACTCCAAAAAAATTAGCAAAACCATCAAGAAACCTGTCATCAAAATCTCTAACAATGCCTTCACAAGCAAAAGACCCCGAATTGCCTAAAGAAGCACCATCACAATTGATCTTGATCTAATCCCACGGCGGCTTCCAAATAACTTCCAGAATCTTGAGAGCACAAGGAGACTAAATAAAGACTTTGAAATACTTCAATAGCTCAAAATCATGAATATTGGTAAAGAAAGAGTTTTAAAATTATGCCAACCAACCCACAAACCGGCATAATACCATAAATAAAAGAAGAAGCATAGATTTTCTTGTCTTTAAATCTAACACTATTTCTAGTAAACCAAACAACATTTAACAAATGGATAACAACAACATTAAAATTTAACTTACATTGATTCAACCAATTGTGGTTGCAGATGCTCCAAATATCATCACACTTCTTTATCAGTAAACTAATATTAAGAGCTTTGCACAACCAATGCCAAAGATGGGAAACATAAGAGCACTAAAAAAATAGATGGTTAGTGTAACACCTGAGGTGAAAGAGGACGGTGGTTACATGTAACACCCGTGGGCGAGGGAGTGGTTGTCGGTGTCATGAGGCATGACAATGAGACACTCCTAGTAGCTTCTGGGGGAAAACCGAATTCACATCCGAATGAGAGGGATCCTGAGGCTATGCAGGTATGGGACTGCATGGTTGAATGAAGGCTTATAAGGATTAATTGGTACTACCTATACCAACAAGATGCATCTTCTTTTCGGTAGCCCATTCATAAGAACTCCACAGTTAAGCGTGCTTGACTTAGAGCAATTCTGGGATGGGTGACCTTTTGGGAAGTTTCCTGGAAAGCGTGTGAATGAGGACAAAGCGGATTCTTCTTCAACAAAACAGTGGCTTCCCTTAGAAGGAAAAACAAAATAATAAGCATCTTTAAGATTAAGCTCTCCCGAAGAAGAATGATTCCAAATCCTTTTATCCGGGCAAAGATCGAAAGGAATCCCATCTCCAAGTGAAAGGGATCGCCACACCAAGTATCATCCCAAAAACTAATTGATCTTTCGTTTTCAAGAATCCAAGACGAATTGCTACAAATCAACGAAATCAAATATTTGATACTAGTCCAAATAGAGGAGTAAATGTGATGATTAATGAAATGATTATTCCTCAATACACGGCTTCTGAGAAGAGAAACCCAAGGATCATCTAAATTAAAAAAATCCCAACCAAGTTTAAGATTGAAAGCCTCGTTCAAGGCGACCAAATATCTAAGCCCAAGACCACCTTCTGAAACCGGTCTACAAATGTTTTTCCAGGCCACTGTAACAATTTTACTTTTCGAAACATCTCCACTCCAAATGAAGTTACAAGCAGCTCTCTCGATACGTCTAGCCAAAGAAACCAATCACGTATAGATAGACATGAAATGGATAAGCATACCTTGAATTGAAGTCTTGACCAACTCGACTCGACCCGTAAAGGTAAGAAGAGAACCTTTTTAAGATGCAAACTTAAGAATGATTTTATCCCAAATCGGTTGAAGATGTTTAGCATTAGGTCTTCCTTTAAAAACTGGCACTCCAATATATAAAAAAGAAGCGGAGCCAATGCAAAAACCAGTGAGATCCGACAAGATATTAAGGCGAGAAAAAGTCATAACGCCTCTATAATAGAAGACTTCCCACAATTAACAAACCGCTCAGAAACCGCACCATAGTCCTTGAAAACAACAGTAAGAGTATTGATGTTAGATACACTGCCTTTGCAGAGGATAAGGACGACATCCAATTTTTAAGAATTTTTTTGAGTAATTGGAGCTTCCCGCAAAGAACCAACATAGGGCAGCCAACCACCTTTTGATTTCAACAAGACTCAATTAGCTTACTACAATCCTTATGCAAAGTCCAAGTTTTCAAAAATCAAACTTGAGACACCAAATTGATAGGATTAATATGAAATTCAAGAAAGATAGGGAAATGATCCGATCACAGCTTGGTAAGGGTACAAACAGAAGTGCTAACACAAGAATTCAACTAAGATAAATTGGCAATACCCCGCTCGAGATGTCTTTTGATGAAAAAAGGATGAGCTCGTTTGTTTGACCAAGTAAAGAAAGCTCATTGATTGGGAAGATGAATGAGATGATTCGTATCATTCCATACTTAAAAATAAATTATAGGGCTCTTAGTAGGAGCGTTGTGACCACAATGTTCATGATCCCTCATGATGGCATTGAAATCACTAACGAAAGTCCAAGGGAGATGATGATTTATTTGGAGCTCAGTAAGATCCTCTCAAAGCTCTTTCCTTTTGTACAAATTGTTAGAAGCATAAATCGCAGTAGTGACCAAAGTCATATGGTCCAAAATGAAAGAGAAGGACACAAATTGATCAGAAGAACCAATAAAAATTGGGTCAATATCAATATTTCAAGAACACCACAAAGAGGGAAGAAGAGTATTATTGAAAGCAAAAAACTTATAACCAAGTTTAAGGAACCAGTTACATGAAAGCTTGTCAAAAGAAATTTCCGGTTCAACAATGAAAAGAAAATTAGGTTTGTGAAGACTTGTCAATCTTTTAAGGGCTAATCTTGAGGGGGGGGGGATTAGCAATTCCTCTGATATTCCAATAAAGAGTCTTCATAAGGAAGGATTCTTGAGTCCCGCTTGAGACCTAATACCATATTTATGGTTTGAATTCGAATGTGTTTGCTTCTTCTTCAGATTGGAAATGGTGGTAGAGAAATCCCCTTTGCCACTTTTATGAATAACTTCTGAGAAACCTCAACACATGTGTCATTTGCTAAAGCAGCCCAGGAGTTCCTTAGGAAATTTCTATCATTAAACGCCTCAGAATCATCGATATCAACAATTTGGACAATTTGTTGATCTTCAACAGTCGCTGCCACACAGTTTGAGGAGGAATCTGAGTCCACAGAAGGTTGGGATACAAAGTTGGAAGGAACGTGAGGATCCAGGGGAGACTCCTCTGTATGAACAGGCTGAGCCTTATTTGGTCCAACAACGGGGTTAACAACCTTATCAGCAACAATAATGCCATTTATGCAGAGGTTTATTCAAAACTTTGTAGTTCTTCACACTTTGACCCGTTTTCCTACAATGAGAACAAAAATCCGGTACATTTTCGTATTCAATATCAGCAAAAAACGCAAATCACTCTCTCTCAAGAAGAACATTGTAATTGAGGGGCTGTGCTAGATCCATATCAACTATCACTCTAAGGAATTTCCTAAAAGTTTGATCAACTCTAGGCTTAGAAGCAGAGGCATCAAAAGATATGGGGGTACCAACACTACTAACAATGGCAAAAAGAATCATTGGTTTCCAATATTCCTGCAAAAGACTAAAACATCTAACCCACACATGTGCAGTGTTGGGTATCAGAATAATATGAAATAATAATAACACAACTAAAATATGAGAAAAGAGTATAGGAATGAATAAGAAGAAATAATTAATTCAAATTCTTAAATGA